TGTACAGCGGTGTTCCGTGAGATCAACCAGTGGTGTATGCCTCACTTGAGCACTATTTAGCCTGCTCCTGCAGTTAAGGAAAGTCTACTCTTGTCAGAGAAAAGCCGTCACCTCCGACGGGCCTCTCGGGGAGGTGAAGACCAGAGGTAACGCAACGTGAGGCCGCATAAATAAGGCCGGTCGCTCGATAGAAGGCCGGTGAAATCGCATGGCACAGATGGACTATTGAAGTTGTCTCATGGTGCCGGGTGCCGCATACAAGGCCGGTGAAACCCTGCGGCACTAGGCGGCCTTAAAGGCACCTTCTTCTCCGTACTCTGTGGAGCTGCTTTGAGATGTGAGCCTAACAAACTCCTGGATCGGCTTGGAGGCTATCGCAAGCCGATGGCTCCGAGCGTATCTTATATTGGGTATCTAAAATTGGTATGACTTTTGAGAACAACGAGCGACGAACAAGATCATCCTCCTCCGCCTCCCTATGCGATGGTACAGATACTCCCGTTCTCATTTGTGTAGTACCCAGCCATGCTGCTGCTGCTGTAGACTATGTAGGTAGGAAGGGAGGAGTGACTGCTTGACTGCGGGACATTCCCAGGTTTCCAGACGTGAAAAAAAATCTTGAACAAATCTACCGGTGATGAGACTCGATCAAACTGCGATGTGCTTTTGTCGCGAAAGCCCTCCAGGCACACAGAGCCTCAAGGTTCACGCAGTAGCCATCCACGGTCCTTACCCGATACACCCAACAAACCGCGTGGGCATACCATGGATACACGAAATAACCACGGACCCTCAGGTTCCGTATCCAGCTGCTATCTACCGTCCGTGCAAGCAATTTCGTCTGTACAGCAAACAGTATCTGACCTTCAGAAGGCTCTCCTCCAGCTGCGCCTCGCTGGCACCGGTGTAGAAGTCCGTCTTCCTGCGCAGGAACCCGAAGAACGACTCGAGGAGGTTGTCGATCCCCTGGTTCTGCTGGGCGAGGTTGAGGTACATGCCGTCGAAGCGGTCATCATCACCTCGCGACGACATTTCTCTCTGCTGTCCAGCTCTACCTCCCCTCCCGATTGGGTCCTTTGACTACCACGCCGGAATGCAGAAAACGTTTCGAAGTTGTACCGAGCTTAGATACCCTTGTGCGTGCACGCCAGCGGGATGATGTGGTGTTGCCTCGTGACTGCTGTGAAGTCAGGCCCAGGCTAGAGCAGAGAGGGCAGGAGAGGCGAGGGGAGGGGGGGGGCGCAGCTGAGATAATCACCCCTACGTCCTGTTTAAAAAGGGGGTCCGTGTCTCAAACACAGCCAGCACCCAACAACCAAGCAAGGGCGAGCGCAAGGGCAAACCAAACAAACACCGCAGCAAACAGCAGCAGCAGCGACCGAGAGAGAGAGGGAAACAAAAGATAAACCAGGCCACGCCCGCATCCACCATGTCTGACTTCGCTCAGCTCGCGGCCAAGGCCAAGGAGGATGGAGTGGCCGCCGCCGCCGCGCCTGTCGACACCACGACCGAGACGGCCGCGCCCGCCTCCGCAGCAGTAGACGAGGGAGCAGGGGCAGCGGCCGAGGAGGAGAGCACTGCGCAGTTCGAGCCCGTGGTTCAGCTCGAGGAGGTGGAGGTGAAGACACACGAAGAGGACGAAGAAGTTCTGTGGAAGATGTGAGTGTTGGTTGTTTTGGGGCTCGACGGCGACGACCCACGGGAAATGAGAGGGAGGGAAGAAGGGAACAACGAGCAATCTCCCGCGCCAAATTTTTGCTTGGTCCCGAAGCACGCCAGCCAGCTGCTTGCTGCTGACAATCGCTGAATGAGAATGAGTTTGACTGCAGCAGCGACAGGGCAGGGTTCCGTAGCGAACCGTGCAAGCCACACGCATTCGGTGTGTGTTGGGCGCGCGTGGTGTGTGGCAGGACAACCATGACCGGGGGCGCACCTTCTCCCCGTTGAAAATGTACTCGTAGCAATGGCAGGGCTATCCAGCAGTATCCGCCGTCTCGAAGCCCCCTGCGGCAGCAAAGTGATCTTATTGTGCAGCAGCATGCCCCACTATTTAGTCTAATCACCAGCGTTGTGGTCGAATGGGCCTGGTAGAGAAACCCTCAGCCCCTAGGTGAAAAGACATAGCAATGCTGCTGTGCGGTGTGCTTTATGGCCGCAAGAGTACCTCGTGCGGCTGGATTTGAATCGCGCAAGAAGAGCGTCTGCTGTCGATCTCGATCGAACCTCTCTCCCTACACGTGCGATCCTCTGCTGTTACACTTGGCGATCCACTGTGCTGTGCATCGGCTGGGGTAAGGGCGGGGAGGGGGGGGGGGGGATGTCTCTCGTGCGCTTGCTCAAAACTTTTATCGGGCTCACGAGATCCTCTGTCCCCTTGCCGTAAATACCACCCTGCATGGGAATCAGGTCTATATGTACCCAGTACCGTTTATATTAGTAGGCGGGCCTGGTTTATGGTGTCCCCTGTAGGTGGGGAGGGAGGCAGTTTGGTGCAGGGCGGGTCGCTGTTGCCCGTACGCCGATGATGATTTCGGGGTGAAGCCGTGGTGCCACGCAATTTGTGGTCACTATACATGGGCATGTCGTTAAACCGGGACCATCATCTTCTGTATTATGGTGTTGAGATGGAGACGCGCTGCGGCCAACCGGGCTACGGCCGCATCTATCGTGTGATGTTACTCCGTGCACGCTAGATCGATCACGTGCCGTTGTGTCTTGGACAGGATCTCCAAGGACGACTGTAAATATGCATGAACCAATCAACCAATCATGAAGCTTGCACACGTTGAACGCGGTGCACGAAGCAGCAGCAGAAGCAGCAGCCACTTATAGGCAACCCCCCCCCCCCCCCTTCTTCCCCCGTATTCATCTTTCCCTCCCCTCTGACGATTGATTTGTTTGTGTTTGGGCGGCTGGCCTCTCCCGGGAGCTTCCCCTTATAGTGCTGTGTTCTACATGTGTCTTCCAAAAATATATGCCTGAATCCTATCTCGTATGGAAGATGATATGCTCGCGTCGCTGCTGGGGATATTGCCCGCTCACCCCTTTCGTCTCCTCCCAGCAATATTTGACGCGTCCCTACCTGTACCCGATTGTGACCGTCGGGTGTCTTGATTCTCTCCCGGGTCATCCCTGTCTGTGGTGGTCCCTCACCTCCAGGCGCGCTAAGCTGTTCATTTTCGGCGAGACATTGCTTAACAAGGGGACTGGGCAGAAGGAGTGGGTGGAGAGAGGCATCGGCGAGGTCAAGTTCCTTCAGTGAGTTTATAGAACAAGCACCTTTTTTTGGCAGTGGTATGTTATGTTGTAGTCGCTCACGTACGTATACCCTTTTTTGGCTGCCCGAGGCAGAGACCTGCTCCCGATTTTGTTTGGGAGCAAGTGGCTTACACGTGCGTGTCTACCATGTGTCTGATTGAGCGCTCGTGGTCTATATGCATTCCATGGTCTATACTGCGGGGAAGGAAGCGTTGTTAGGACCACGAAGCGACGGGTTTCGCGTAATGCACCGCTTGTCCGTGCCCCATTGTCGTGAAAACGTGCGCCTGCGAAGACGAAGCCCAGCGAGTGTCCATGAACCCCGCGAGTATCTCCATGTTGCTCTTGAGGACGCACACAAAAACGTTTGCTCAATGCAGTCGTGTGTGGAATCAATTTTCTAGATTAGAGCGACGACTCACTTGGCTGCTGTGCAACAACCGGGTGTGCTGGTATGGTGGATTGATCGTGGCGTCTGGCGCGGGGAGGCATTGTTTTTGGTTTTTGGTCCTTGTCATAATGCCCATGGACAGCAGTGATAAGTCGTTGTGTGAGGGAGAGTACGACAGACGTTGTTGCCGAACATTCATCAAGCACACACGTTTACGAAAGTTGCAACTCTGCTACGTTGGCCAAGCAAAGAGCGCCTTGGCAGTATGGTTGGGGATCGTCGTCGTCATCGGATCGTCCGTTTGGTAGTAGAGAGTACCAGGCTCCGGCTTGCGGCCCTTGCGATGTTTCCACCCCGCGCGATCTCTGATTGTCGTCAGCGGATCGTCCATTCGGTAGTAAAAAGTGCCTTCGCCACCATGCGGCCTTTGCGGCGATTCCACCAATCGGAGATCGCGAGGGGTGGAATCACCGCAAAGGCCTCAAGCTGGAGAAGGTAATCTCTACTACCAAACGGACGATCCGATGACGACGATCCCCAACAGAAGAGAGGAGCAAAAACAAGATACCTCCCGGAGCGCCGGTCAACACGCATAACCATGCCCCCCCCCCCCCCCCCCCGGCTGGCCCGGGGGGGGGCCCATCCCATCCACCTTAAACCGGGGATTCCACGGGGAAATGGGAAAGGGACAAGGGGAACCGGGTCGGGGGCGTGCTTTTGCGGGAAGAAAAAAAGAAGAAAGGAAAAAAAAACAGTCCCGGGTCAGGAAAAACAAATTACCCCCCATGCAAACCATGGGTTGGGTTGTGGAGCTTGAACCGCCCCTGTAGCTATAAATTTGGGGGTGGGTTGCGTGTACCCTGGGGCCGTGTCGAGGGGGTGTACCGGAAAAAACGTCCAGGAGCTCTTGGCGGAAATTTTTGGACGGGCCCGAAAAAA